TATATATATTTGTATATATAACAAGAACCTATAATTTTTTAAGAAACATTGTTTCTTAAAAATAATTTTTTTGCATAAATTTCTCAAGTAATAATTTTCATGAGGTGTTGAAAAATTAACTTTGTTAAGATAAAAATAAAATGTTAATACATTAAAAATATTATATTACATTTATTTATTTTATTCAATACAGTAAAAAAATTTGCTTATCAAATAATATTTATAGAAATACAATCAATCAAATATATTTTTATTATTCTTAAAATATGGTTCACAAATTTATGATTCTTAAAAATCATGATTTATAAGAATGAAAAAGTTTATCGTATTTTTTTTTTTATTTTAAAAAAGCTAGTCTTTTAACCTTTGATTATTGAAAATTCTATGTTTTCCTAACCCTATATTTAACCGAGAGAAAGGAATTAAAGAGAATGAAAACAAATATATGAGAATTAATTAAATAAAAAATAAAAAATAAAATAAAATAAGATAACATTTATAATTAAATAATAGAATAAGATTTAATAATGATCATTATTTTTAATTATATTCGTATTAATAATTAATACAATAATAATTTAAAATTAAATGAAAAGAATAAATTCATTATAGACTTGTTTGTTTAAATTTTTTAAAACATATTTTTAATAAAATAAACAGTTTTATATATTTATATAAACTACTTCTTAAGAAGAAGAAAAAATAGTTTTATTTTTTAACAAATAACTCTTGTCTACTTCTATAAAAAATGGTTTTTAAAACAAACTGAATCTTATTTTTCAGAAGAGACAATAAAATATACAATCCAAAGAGTACAGCATGGTTAATTATACTTAATATATTTGAAAATGGTAATGGAAGTTTATAGATGAAAATGAAATATTAAATAAAGATATTTTACGTAAAATGTAATAATATGTTGTACGCATTAAATATTATTAATAAAAAAACTGTACAATTAATTTTTAAAAAATAAAATAAAAAGTTGTAAAAAAATAATAATATGATATTTGATATTTGTTAATTTAGTTACCTGCAGGAGTCAAAATCGAGGACATTTTAGGAACGGAAGCATCGTGACAGCGTAATAAAGAAGCGAAGACAACTAATAACTGCTGCACAAGCATTGTTGTCATCGTAGTTGTGTTTCATAAATTTCGGCTAAGCTTCGAAACCCAGAAACCCATAGCCAAGATGATGCACATGACCTTTTATTGGAGCAAGAACGTCACTCTTCTAATCGGTTCATGGAAGACCAACGATTGGACCGAGTATATCCTCTCCTTGTTCGCGTGCCTCGTCGTTTCCGTTTTCTACCAGGTTCTCGAGAATCGCCGCATCCGCCTCAAGCTCATCGGCGCCGGAAAGCCCTTCCCGCCGGAGATCGAGACCCCTCTGCTGCGCCGGAAGCTCGCCGGAAACCGCGCCAAGGTGGCCGGAGCGTTTCTCTTTGGCCTCAGCTCCGCGATCGGGTATTTGTTGATGTTGGCCGTTATGTCCTTTAACGGAGGGGTCTTCGTCGCCATCGTCGTGGGTCTCGCTATTGGTTACTTCTTCTTCAGGAACGAGGGCGAAGATTCCCTTATCGTGGACACTTCTTGTGCTTGTGCTTAAATTATATCTTTGTAAATTGTAATTACTTTTAGATCTTCCAATTTCCTATGCTAATACTTGTACTACTTGGTTTTTCATTATTCTGTTTATTTTGTATATTGTAATATTTTATTTTCCTGTTTTAATTTAGCCTTCTTGTTTCTCCAATTTGGGATGTGTAATTTCATATTGTAATCGTAACCAAGATGGCAAGATACAATCGCCAATGGGAACTCTCGATTCTAAAGATGAATTTATTTTGTGGCAGTGTTTTATATGTAACAAAAAAAATCTTGATGCCTCCGTTATTGCTTACTTGACAGAGGGATCTCTATTTCAGATAACTTGTGTAGTTCATGTTTCACCTCAAACACCATTCACTTGCTATACTACAACTCTCTATTCCAGACCAAAATCAGACGCAACTAGTTAATTACTTACATTTAGCTTCTTTGTAGACAATCCCTTACAAACTAAAATGGCAAACACATAATTTTCATTTTTCTTCTTCTTATGCTATCTGCTATGTTTTATCTACGCTGCTGATACCATAGACAAAGGACTCTTTAATGCCCTTTGAGGGTATCTCATTGGCTACTTTCACTTACCGCCACATACACAAACGGTCCTATGATGACATCTTCAAAATCCTGAGGTGACTCTAATATCTTTACCACATCACTCATATTGGGCCTTGGATTGGGGTGGTGGCTCAAGCATTTATAGGTCAATGCAGCAACTTTTAAAGCTCCTTTCATAGGAAACTGCCCTTCCAATCTTGGGTCTATTATATGGAGCAGCTTTCTTTGATCTCTCAAAAGAGGCCTTGCCCATTCGACCAGGCTTCGCTCTCGATTGGGTCGGGTCTTGTCCACTACCCTTCTTCCCGTTAGCAATTCCAACAAAACCACTCCATAGCTATATACATCACTCTTGGTGGAAAGGTGACCTAGGAAATTAATCAAGTTACAACAACAGAATAAGGCTTTTTGATTGTAGCAAAAACAAAATTGGTCAATGTTATATAGTAAATGAAATTCTCTCTATACCAGACATGATGTACTCAGGAGCAGCATAGCCTCGGGTTCCCATTATGCATGTTGTTGTTACATGTGTTTCTTCCCCTTCAGGACCATCCTTAGCAAGCCCTAGGTCTGATAATTTAGCAGTGTAATCCTGAATTTGGAAAGAATTTAATTGAAATTACACTGATAATTCTAATTATGGATTGTCACATAAGTGAAAAATTATTAACTTGTTTAATATTTACTTTAAAAATCATATATGTAACGATTTTTAGTTGGATGACTAGCACTAGCAGCTTATCAAAATTAAACTATAACATAAGATAAAATAAATAATCATCTATTGCAAACTTAATTTCTTTATTGCATATGATATGATGATGTAGGCCACTAGGAGACACATCATCATCCTTCAGAATAGAGATTGAGCATACCGAATCTAGTAAGATATTTGAAGTCTTGAAATCCCTGTATATTACAGGTTTATCTGTTTCGTGAAGGAAGGCCAAACCCTTAGCTGCACCCAATGCTATCTTCATCCTGGTTGACCATGGTAAGGCCGCAGAGTATCCTGCTACAACAAAACTTAAGGCTTAGTATACTTTGTGCTATTGGCAAGAATTTAATTTCCAAATATTTATGTGAGATTTTCTTCTCAATATACATCCTCAACAATCACGCCAATTCTCATCAGTATCCATATAAAACAAGTAGAATACTATAATTGAATTCATTAGATGTGCTTGATAATAATTAAGACAAAAAAGAATATCCAAATTATTTTGTCATCGAACTACCTTGATGGTAAAATTTGATTGGACAGAGTTATTAATACTACTGTTATAATCAATCAGAAAAACACGCAGAAAATGATTCTGTGACTTTCTACTGGATTTCACTCCTTGATGGGGGAAAAAGAGAGACAAAAGCATAAAAAAAGGGGTAGAATAAAGAAAAGAAACATACTTCTGAATAGTTGATTCTCCAAGCTGCCTCTTGCCATGTATTCATACACCAAAAGCCTGTGTTCCTCCTCACAACAGTACCCAATTAACTTTACAAGATGTGGATGCCTCAGCTGTCCAAGAAATATAATTTCCGCCTATAAAAGAAAATATTTGGCAAGCTAGTATCAGTTTTGTTCAGATATTTCTAAACCATGTTCTATTAGCTAGATTTTATTCATTGGAGTTTGGAGTAGTACTTTAAATTGATTTTTGACTAATATTGGAGATTTGGAATGGGGTGAAAAAAAAAAAAAAAACTAACCAGCCACTCCCTGTGACCTTGCAAGCCATCCAAGTCAAGTCGTTTCACAGCTATAGACTGAGCCTTCAAACCAGGTCTAAGTGTGTCATCAACAAAACCCTTGTACACAGGTCCAAACCCTCCTTCACCAAGAAGATTACTCCATGAGAAATTATGTGTTGCTTCCCTCAGCTCATCTAGTGTGAATGTGTAAAGCTTTGGACCAACCAGGGAAATAGAAAGATCTTCAATTGCCTGAGGGGAGCTAGGAATGCTTATATCCGAGAGACATAACCTTTGGAAGGAACCATGTTTCAAAACCTCTTTTTCTGATTCCTCCAAGGAACATTGAGTCTTGTAACAACTTAAGATCAACACAAAAGACTTCCATGTAATCTTTTTAGAACTCATCTAGAATCAGTATGTATGTGCAATGCTCTAGTAAAACCCCTCCCTTTGCTCTTAAATCTAGAGAATTATAAAGACAAGATAGAAGATGGCACTTAAAATATTAAGTGAAGGGTGAGAAATTTATAGCACATACATTCTCCCAAGTCCTAACTACCCTTAGAAAAAAACTTCAGCGAGATTCCTTGACTTCTAGACACCTCTTGAATACGGTTCCCACATTCCCAATTGGCAGAGTTACACTACATGCATGAATGGTTTTTATTTTATTTTATTTTCTGTCACGATATTTTTTATATCATAATTATAAATTGTTGTCTTATGTTCAATTAATTAGATGTCAAGTAACTTAAACTTGCCTACCTGTTGACTTCAATGTTACCCTACACTTCCCCAACCCCTTACAAACATGTATGCATTTCCATTTTGTCTGTCTTGCAATCTAGTCATGCACTTATTTTTGTTTAGCAGTTGATGAACATTCCCGGGAAGGTCCAATAATTTGACATAATTTGCCAGGTGCATAACCAACAATTCCATTATCGAATCTTTTGATGCACTTTGGACGGTTTTATTCATTTATTTATTCAATTGATATTTCCCAGTTTTTGGTAGGTCACGCTTCTCTGTATTGTTATTGTTAAGATGTCAACTTCAAACATGGCAACCCGACAATTAGACGATCCTTTGAAATTTTTAATGTGATAATCGAGAATATATAGCTTCCAGAATTAGGACACTAAGGAGTTGGCATTCATAGAATTCTAATAGAACCATCAAATACATTTGCGCGTTATTAGTTAAGGCATGAGATCACAGAAGTGGCAATCTATACAACTAATTAAAAACTCCAAAAGGGTTTAGACTTTAGATACATTCAAATTATTGAAGGGGCGGAAAAGGAGAAAAAGAGAAACAAAAGAAAATATAGCCTTCGTAAAGGTCAAAGAGAAAAGGTGAACCTATCAATCTAACCATCAACCACTTCCATCCCTTATGGGAACTATGCCAAAACTTTGCATAAGTTATCGTTAGGCTAATGGTTGCATCATTCTTTGACAATTTAATTGTCCTTTCCAAGTGTTACCATAAATATGATTAAAATAAGAAGGGGAAAAAGTTGTATATATAATATAATAGATAGGTTACTTGTGTTAGGAAAATACATTTGCTTTAAAAAAACTCAAGTGAGCACTGAGCAGCCAGAGTTCAGCTACAGGTTGAACAGATGATCACATTATAGTAATGACATATCAGAATTCTCTCACACAAAAAATATGAAAAGGGTGCGAATAATCAGAGTTCTTTAGTAAGAAAAAGAAAATTAAGTGAAACCAATCGCTAATCGACAGTTATTTTATTTGATGGCTTAAGATTAAAAAAAAACACGGAGAAAATGTGACTTAAATTTTTAGAGTAATCTACAAGAATTTTAAGAGTGTCACTGTCCAGTATGCTTTTTTATTCCAAACCAAAAATATTTGTTTTCGTATAAAACAAAAAATACCTACTTCAGTTGCTAGTTGCAAACACTAACGGAACCGGTAGAAAATTCTAAAACGTGACCAAAATTGAACGCCTCCTCTTATAGATTTAAAAAAATAGCCATATAATGAAATTTAATTTGATGAATCAAAGGGATGAGAGAAGGGTCAGCATCCACAAGAGTACTTAACGTGCTTCAGTCTGTAGAGGTCGTTATCAAGGTAGTGAGGTGTATTGAGGATTGTAGTTGGTGAAGTTAGAAAGTTGAAACCAACGTTGGCTCCTCTTACCATAGTCCTTGCCCAAGTACGCAAGGCAGCAGCGTGCATGTTAATGGTGTGGTATGGTATGGTAAATTGGCTATGGAATTCCTAAGTAAGTGTTTTGAATGCATGCCATGTGTTTGTGTGATTATGGGGTTTCATAATTTTCCAGTAACATGCGCAACAAAACTACTGAAGTTCAACGATTGGAACATCATTCTTTTAAATCGTGTCGTAGAAATTAAGGGATACAAACTCCCAGATTCCTTTTGAACCGTTTACAGGTTTTAGATAATTTTTCATCCTTCGTGGAGGGGTGTATTTTCTTTTCTTTTGATCCATGTACTAGATATTTCTTAAGAGGCAGTTTTTATATGATGGGCTATTTCCTTGTATTTATATTCTTTGTTGATCTAAGTACGGCATATGTTAAACACACCTCCACTCTCGTATCAACACACCCCCTTTTTTAAAAAAAATATATAAAATGTTTAAATTACCCTTTAAAAGAAATGAAATTCCTAAATTTACACCTCCCTTCCCCGCATCCCCCTTATCCTGTATAAGCATGTAAACTTTAGTCTGGAACGACATCAGAACGGGCCGTTCTGCAAGAAGAATGACCCGTTCTGCTTTCAGAACGTCCCGTTCTGCAAGCAGTACGGCCCGTTCTGCAAGCAGTACAGGCCGTGCCGCGTCACTTTTAAAATGGCTACTTTATGACTGATTTTAAAACTCCGATTTTAAAAGTCATTTTTGTACTAGTGTTTATTTCCATAGAACAAGTAAGAGTCTTTCTCTTACAAGACCACCTGCTGACATTGCGCACCCTTCTTCTTTCTCTTTGTGGCACTCCTCTTCTTTTTTTTTTTCCCGCACCTCGCACACCCCTCTTCTTTCTCTTTCTGGCACTCCTCTTCTTCTTCTTCTTACTGTTACGGAAAGTTCTTTCCGGAATTATATAAAAATGTTCCGGAAAATACTTTCCATAATATTAAATTCTTATTCCGGAAAGTATTTTCCGGAAATGTTTTGTTACATAATTCCGGAAAGTACTTTCCATAATATTAAAGTTACTATTACGAAAAGTTCTTTCCGGAATTATATGAACAATAATTTTACTATTCCGGAAAGTACTTTCCGGAATGCTAATGACTGTAAAAGTACTTTCCAGAATGCTAATGATTGTAAAAGAGTCTTTCTTATGCTGGTTATGGTGGGGCTAGTCCTTTTTTCTATTCAGAATGACTGTAAAAGTATATTACTTAATGACATTGAGCGGAAATAGACTTTGGGAAGAAGAGGGGTGTGGAGTGTGGGGTGCGGGGAAGGCGGGTGCGGGGAAGGGAGGTGTAAATTTAGGAATTTCATTTTTTTTAAAGGGTTATTTAAACATTTTATATATTTTTTTTAAAAAGGGTGTGTATTTATATGAGAGTGGAGGTGTGTTTATCATCAGCCTCTAAGTACCGAGGCAGACTCTATGTTACATAAGGGCCAGATATTATATGAGCCCCATTTCCTTATGGATCATTCTCGACTTTCAGTAAATGAGTATAACGGGCCCAAAACAAGAAATTTACATGTTATCGACACCCTTCCTGATTGATCTTTGCACCACCTTTTTTTTTATTATAAAATATTGTGCACCAACAAAATCTAGTTTCTGTTAAATGCATGTTTCATATACATTAGATTATAAGATATTATATCACCATAAATTTGATATTAGTAAATAATAAGAAATCGTTAGATTTATCTCACTTAATAAATATGTTAATCTCATCATCAATATTAAATAATTTTTTTGTTTTATAATATTTTATTATATAATGTATATTGTGTTTAAAGTACGATAACTTTTGTCTGGAGTAATAAAATTAATATATCATATACTTTTCTCATTCTCACACGTATATATATATATATATATATATATATATATATAT